CAGCCCGTCGAGTCCACACCAATTCTCTGAACAGCATCCCACCTCAACCTACCCCCTACCCTCTCCCTGTAACCCTGCAATTCCCATGGCTAATCCATCCTGCACATCCCTGGATGTTATGGGAAACTTAGCATGGTCAATCCACCTAACCTGCATATCTTTGGACTATGGGAGGAAGTCAGAGCATAATCTAAGAGGTCTACCTGGATACCTAACAAAAGTGAAACAAATCTGCTCATTCTCTTCTCCCTGTCTCAAGGAGGTGAACATAATCATTAGCACTCAAACCGCTGCATCAAAGGATTTGTGGTCTATACAGCTTAGCATCACATTGCATAATTACACAAAACCAGAACAGCGCTTCGCCAGTACTATTTTATAAGGGCCCTCAAATCAAACCGCTGTATAATCGACAGTTAGATCAACATGAAATATGTGTGGCTATGATTTACTGTTGTACAACTAGTGAACTAGGTCCTCCCATTCCTGATTTTACACTAACTTTGATATGATAAGAGAGGTAGGATGGGGGATAAATGAAAATTGCATAAAGAATGTTAGAATGCTTGTGGAGGCCATGTTTTGTACCAGCACAAATCCTGTAATGCAGTTTGCCACTATATCTGTGGAATTTCCACTTCAATCAAATTAACTCATCAAAACAGCTGGTTTTACTCTGGCTCAACTAATTAGCCTCTTATTGCCAATGCAGCCCCAATTTCAACCAAATTATAAAATTGCAACAGCAGCATGCAAATCACTAGAACAAGCCTACATTCTGGCAATATGTAACAAAGATATCAAACCAAACTACTGTGTTATTTTGAAATAAGTGGCATTTTAAAATGAAAGTTATAAATACTTCTCTGAAAGATTCCAAAGCTTTGTTGATTTTAGCTTACACTAAAATAGCAAAGAGCAAATAAATTTCAAAAGAATTAAGCCAACATCTGCTCTGTGTCAGGAACAACCACATAAACTGATAGTTTAGCCCGTGTGCAGCTCAATTAATTTGTTGCTGTTTTTCAAGTTAACCAGTGGGTAGATTTACTGGACTGAGTAATTAGTGCCGACAAAGAATTTCTGGCATAGGAGTTACTGTTTGCAACAAATTGCTATGCATAACTATGTGGTCAGGATGATTGTATGCAACTTCAAAAAACAGAAAATTCTATACAACTGTGACAGCCTTCATATCTTCCCAGTTACCATCTTGGTCACAGACAGTCTAGATTAGCAAGTAATTCAGAAAGGATTAGAATGTAGGTTATGCCAAGCTTATCACTGGTATACTATGTTGGAAACACAGGGCAGAATACAAATTAACAAGTCCTGCAGTAGTGAATGATGGATTTTTTTTTCAAATATCTAAACCATAGTCACCTCTGGCAGCAGCCAACAGTTCTCATGTCCACAACAAAAAAAAACTGTCAAACCTGCAGTGTAACAGCCATGATACCGTGACAAGTTAAAAAAAAAATCTATAAAATCTACAGGTAGATGACCATTGTAGATGGCGACAATGAAAAATCATCTTCTAACGAAACTTAAAAAAAACTAGATTTCAGCTGTCACTTTCACTAAGCAGAACGTGTTTCTTAGTACAAACTCGTGAGATGAACTGCATTGCATAATACTATGGCGCCAGTCATAACCTGACTTTTTAAATACACAGTCATTCAGAGTTATTCTGTCAAAGGAGGAAAAAAAGATTTAAATGCAGCAAATGGGAAACTCCTAGGCTCTCCACATCCAATTAAAGTAGTTTCAGTCACCACTGACAATGTGTTTTTTGGAAATAGGATAGTGTTGCCACAAGAAGCCAGAAAACCCCACTTCTTTATATCACAGCAGTTTCACACCATTTAGTTTAAAGTACTAATGAACTTAAGACCATAAGACATAGCAGCAGAAATTAGGCCATTCGGCCCATCGAGTCTGCTCCACCATTCAAATCATGGCTGACAAGTTCCTCAACCCCATTCTCCTGCTTTCTCCCCATAACCCTTGATAATTAAGAACCTATCTCAGTCTTAAAGGTACTCAACGACCCGGCCTCCACAGCCTTCTGTGGCAGTGAATTCCATAGATTCACCACTCTCCGGCTGAAGAAGTTTCTCCTTATCTTCATTCTAAAAGGTCTTCCCTTTACCCTAAGGCTGTACCCTCGGGTCCTAGTCTCTCCTACCAATGGAAGCATCTTCCCAACATCCACTCTGTCCAGGCCATTCAGTATTCTGGAAGTTTCAATTAGATCCCCCCTCATCCTTCTAAGTTCCAATGAGTATAGTCCCAGAGTCCTCCAACATTCCTCATATGTTAAGCTTTCCATTCCTGGGACCATTCTCGTGAACCTCCTCTGAACGAGATATGGGGCCCAAAACTGCACACAATACACCAAATGTGGCCTGGCCAAAGCCTTATAAAGCCTCAGAAGTACATCCCTGCTTTTATATTCAAGTCCTCTCAAAATAAATGCCAACATTGCATTTGCCTTCCTGACTACTGACTCAACCTACAAGTTTACCTGGACTAGAACTCCCAAGTCTGTTTGCACTTCAGACTTCTGAATTTTCTCCCCATTTAGAAAATAGTCTATGCTTTTTTTTCTTCTTATCAAAGTGCACAACCTCACACTTTCCCACGTTGTACTCCATCTGCCACTTCTTCGCCCACTCTCCTAACTTGTCCAAATCCTTCCGCAGCCTCCCCACCTCCTCAATACTACCTATCCCTCCACTTATCTTTGTATCATCTGCAAACTTAGCCAGAATGCCAACAGTTCTTTCATATAGATCATTAATGTATAAAGTGAAAAGTTGTGGTCCCAACACTGACCTTTGTGGAACACCACTTGTCACCAGCTGCCATCCTGACAAAGACCCCTTTATCCCCACTCTCTGCTTTCTGCCAGACAGTCAATTTTCTATCCATGCTAGCACCTTGCCTCTAACACCATGGGCCCTTATCTTACTCAGCAGCCTCCTGTGTGATACCTTATCAAAGGCCTTCTTGAAGTTCAGGTAGATAACATCCACTGGCTCTCCTTGGTCTACCCTACTCGTTACTTCCTCAAAGATGGTTAAAGGATGGTTATTTACAGGTAACTACATTCAATTTAGGAATAGACTGAAAACTTGGACATCAGTTGCAGTTCGGTGTTCGCATTTTCACTTCTGGAATCAGAAGGTCATGGATTCAAGTCCCACTGGACAATACAAAACCTACAGTGTTACCTCATTGCAGTTGAGGTAAGTGCCATTTTTGATTTATACAGTAATTTGACACTGTCCTCTCAAGTGTACTTAAATTATTCAATGACATTATTTTTAATAACAGATGTAGAAACCCTGGTGTCCAAGTCAACTTTACATCTCAACCAATTTCACCAAAACATTATCTGGTAATCACCACACTGTTGTTTCGGATGACCTTGCTATGCATAGATTGGATTCTGTATTTCCTATATTATAACAGCTAATACTCTTCAGCAATAACTCATTCCCTGGGAATTACTAAAGATCACAAAATTGACTATATATTAAGTTAATTTATTTGTTGCCAACACAAACTATCAAACACTTCGTGCAACATGGATCATTGAGATGTCAAGTAAAACAATGCGCAAGTGTATATTGGATACAAAATCAAATTTTGCTTAATCACTTTCACTAGTTTTAGAATGTTCTTGGGGTTCTTCCAGTAAGCTTTTGTACTCAGGTATGTATTAGTCTCAAATATCACTAACAAATAGAGTTCTTTCTGGTATCCAGTGGTTATATCAAGCTTAAATGGGTCTGCAAGACAAAACAAATATCCTTCTTCCCTTGCCACAAGGGATCAATGATCAAGTACTGTATAGCAAGCATATGCACTGCTGTGAAAAACCAAGTTCAATCTTTAATGGCCAATTCTTCTGCAATGTCCAGTGGGATTTTCCATTTCTCACAGCAATAAGTTTGTTGTCTGTGAAGGGATTGCCAGTTTAATGGCAAATACTAAATCCACTTTAAACAGGAAAAAAAATGCTTTTTCATTTCAAGCAAAATATACAAAGCTTGGAAATTAATTCAAAGAATTAGAATTTCCTTACATTATAATGATTATATACATAGCTATATATTTAACTAGAACAAAAGTAAAAATGGCTGCTACAAAGTAAAAACAATTGGTTAAAATTGCATCCTTTTAATTTAAGAAAGATTTGGATATCTAATGAGCTGAGCCATCTTTCAACAAATTAGCAGGCTTCAAAATTTCATTTAGGTACGAAACACAGCATAGATGTACCAAGAGGAGAAAAGACAAGCTGAAAGAAAAAACATAACTTGATTTTTAGCAATCTTAACAAGCCCAAACACTACTGGTACCAACAAGGTCGACAAGTCCTTAATAAAAACCAAAAGAACTGCGAATGCTGTAAATGAGAAACAAAAACAGAAGTTGCGGGAAAAGCTCGGCAGATCTGGCAGCATCCGTGAAGAGAAATCAGAGTTAACGTTTCAGGTCTGGTGATCTTCCTCAGATATCAAGTCATTAATTTCGTAAATTTTGTATTTAAAAAATCCATCAAGATCAAAAATATCTTGCATTTCCTTTAAATTACACCACACCTAAAGCCTTCATTTAGATCAGTTATCTACTAACAAAAAGAGAAGTTATTTTTGTTCGATTTAACAGATGATTCAACTTTGGCGAAAAAAAACTTACAACGAATCTGCATGTTGTGTTACAGTTTCGGTGCTGATTACAGCTCACTTAGCAAGTTAGTAGTACTTTGGAGCAATCAGCCAGAACAGACCAGCGTGATGAGTGCGGTGTTATACGCATGTGTCATTCGACATTTTGCAACAAAATTGGTAGGAAACAAATTGCAATTCTAAATCTTAGGTAAGTGCTTGCGTTCAATTGTCAAAAATACATTTTATTTCGTTTGCCGGAAAGCGGATACTACTAGAAAAAATAAATCAAAACAACGAAAGGAATGCATTATCACAAACCGTACAAGCCGATGTCAGGCGCAAGTTGTATCTGGCAGGACTCAAAGTAGACAGGGCAATTTGACAGCCAAATTCCAATGTGTAAGCAGTTGAAGAACTTTACACACCCATATGCAAAATAAAGATACATAAGCCACCTTGAACCGTGTCGCTTTTGAATGACATTGCAAACGTGTAAGCAAACATTTTTGGGGGGGCGGAAACATCTACTTTTAAGCTATGCGTCTCCTTGAAAAACATTCACGTATTAGTTTTATAATAACTTAAAATAATTACTTTCCCGGTGGCATTTTTTAAAGAAAAAAAATCGAGCAGACTCTGAAGCAAATTAAATGCCAGAAAAATGACACGGCATTCCGAAGAGATTAATTTCAAAACCAGACAAATATTTACAATACTTAAGAAATGAAGTGAACGTTTACAAAACAACTAGACTACGTCTTAAGGTTGACTGTAAACTACACGGTTCGCACCTATACATTGTCCAACAGGAGTACTGTATGGGTTCCCAATGAAGAACTCCATCTTGACGCTTCCTCCACAAACATCCAATGGATGTGGGTGACGTCAACTTCGCCTCAACCGAGCTTGATAGCGCGAGCAGATGCCTGTTCCTTCCTCTCACTGATTGGCCAGCCACCCGCATGTCCCCGCCTTCTCCATCATATCCCATACATTTATTGGTCAATCGCTATGTCTGTCAGGCGTCCCGTCAAGTCAAGTCCGCTCTCGTCTTTGGATGATTATTTTGCCTCTCTTCATCATTGAAATTATATTTTAAAACGAGTGATTTTGTTTTACATGTTCTTTTATTGTTTAACGCTATAGTTAGTAGTTGAACCGGTACGAATCCTATCTCACGATGTTGCTACTGAAGAGGGTGGTGGCCTAGGTCACGTGGTGTTTATCCTAGCAACCGAGTGAAGCTCGGCCCAGCCAGGCTAAAATCAAGGAATATAGAAGAAGTAGCTGATTATATACAGGTAAAAGTTAAAATTGTTGATAGGGTAAGTAGTGTTTCTGTCCGCTACAGATTTAAACTGTCAATAATGTCTTCTTTGAGTAACTCTTCAATTTGTACGTCCAGTGGTGGATGTTGATCCCGCAAAACCAACTCGACTGGCTGCGACATAGTCATACAGTATGGAAACAGACCCTTCGGTCCAACTCGTCCGTGCTGACCAAATATCCAATTTGATCTACTCCCATTCGTTGGCATTTGGCCCTTATCCCTCTAAACCTTTCGTATTAACATACCTATTAAAATGCTTTTTAAATGTTGTAACTGTACCCGCCTCCACCACGTCCTCTGATGAAATTATACATGTCTAAACCAAGAGCACTTAATACAAACCTACAGTACTTAAATGGAAAGTGGACTATTCGAAGTGCTAATACCTTTGATTATATTGCATCTGCAACTCAAAAAGGCTAATCAGTCTATTTTCAGTCAAATCTCCACCTCCAGATGTTCAAAAGAAGCCCCAGTTAAGACAAAGATGAGATGGAATTTGTTCTCTGAGGGTAGTTTCTATAACAAACACAAACAGAAATAGCTGGAGAAACCCAGCAGATCTGGCAACATTTGTAGAGAGAAAACAGAGTTAAAGTTTCAAGTCCTGTGACCCTTCTTTATAACTAGAAACAACTAACTGCTTAAAATTTTGAAGAAGGGTCATGGAACATGAAATGTTAATTCTGTTTTCTGTCCAGAAATCATGCCAGACCAGCTGAGTTTCTCCAGCTATTTCTGTTTTTGTTTGTTTCAAATCTCAGTATGCATACTTTGTTTTGTTTTAAGTAGTTCCTATGATCAATGCCAGATTCCCAAAACAATTAGTCCACTGAGAATTTGATTAACACAAAAGACTTCCAGCACCACAGCAGAAAAATTTTGTGAGCCCTTGGCTGTGAGTGACCAAAATACCCAGAAAAGCTTTGAGAAAAGCAAAAGGTGCTGGAGAAACTCAGCAGTTCTGGCAGCATCTGTGGAGAGACAACAGTATCAACATTTTTGAGTTCAGAAACCTTTCACCTGTTCTAACAAACGGTGACTAGCCTGGAAACATGAACTCTTATTTTTCTCTGTACTGATGCTGCTGAGTTTCTCCAGCACTTTCTGTTTTTATTTGTTCCAGATCTCTAGCTTCCACAATTCTTTTGTTTTATTTAAAGACATTGAGAGAACTTTTCAGGAATGCACAATAATGGAGATGAGGTAACAAAGGGAGTGTACAAAGCTCCAAACGTCCCATCTATCTGCTCCTTCAAATATCATAGGTTGCAACTGTGGCAGAATCTAGAGATCACATGTCGGATGAAGCCTAATGCAAGCTGGTGGCATAACACCTCATTTTCTGTTTAGGCACTTTACAGCTTGCAGTAATCAACATTGAGTTCAACAACTTTAGACCATGAACTTTGTCCTCTATTATTTATCCCGACCAGCATCTCTCCAATGTCTTATTTGCATAAGTTAGCTCTTCATAGAGCAGACCTCTTTTCTGCCATTATGCCTACACTTCATCTATAACTCAACTATCTTGAGCACTCAGTGACATCAGTTTGATTTGGAGATCTGAGTTGTGTGTATTAAGAAGTGAAAGACATAGCTTCAGTTTCATTTTTGAATTCTGTGGATGGTACATGGTTGTCTGAAGATTTATTTACATTCATTCAAATTAGATTGATTTTTTTTTTTTTACCTTCAGAATTGAGTCTACCTTCAAGTAAATAGTTCAGTGCATGCAAAACAAGAAGACAGAAAAATGTGGGGCTATTGCCGTGCAACAAAGTGCCCATAACACAAGAGACAGAAAAAATTTATTTAGAAAGTCAATGTGAAGGTTTCTTTCAGAAACAAGCTGGCCATTTGGAGAGAAAAGGCCTATAGCATCAGCAATGTTGTTTAGCATTCTCCAAAACAGATGGGGGCAGAAGAACAGAAATCTGGAGTGGTTTAAAAGTTAGTAAAAGGAAAACTCCTGAAATGAATTATAGCTATGCCAACTGAAAAATGAATGTTAACGTTAATGTGGAGATAGTGTGATCTTCAATAAAGTTTATATATCTGTAAGGTTGCCAATGAGAATGTCTGTTTTTAAAATTTGTAATAAGACCATTTAAATAATTGTTGTGTAATGTTAGTAGTGTAGTAGTTAGTGCTTTGCTCCTTTTTTTCTAATAACCCTGAATGTTCTTTTGTTAAAAGTACTTTGGTAACCTTGTGAACATGATCAGTGATCACAATGATGAACGAATAGCAAGAATGAAACTTCTGTCAATCAAGCCAGATTTCACCCTGGAATGCGACTTATCCAGTATTACCACAAATCATAAAGTTTCATTGTGGTTTTAACTTTTCAACTTTACCTGGTCTGTAGAACTTGCTATCATGTTCATTGGACATTAGAAAATACAGTCATACAGCTAGAAACAGACCCTCCAATCCAAATCATTCATGCTGACTAGGTTTCCCAAACTATACTAGTCCCATTTGCCTGTGTGTACCCCGTATCCCTCTAAACCTTTCCTATTCATCTACCTGTCGAAATGTCTTTCAAATGTTGTCACTGTACCTGCATCTACCACTTCTTCTGGCTGTTCGTTCTATATATGCACCACCCAGTGTGTGAAAAGTTGCCCCTCAGGTCCCTTTTAAATCTTTTCCATCTCACCTTAACACTATGTCCTCTAGTTTTGAATTCCCCTACCCAAGGGAAAATATCTTTGCTATTCATCTTATCCATGCCCCTCATGATTTTATAAACCTGTATAAGATCACCCCTCGACCTCTTACGTGCCAAGGGAAATTGTCTCAGCCTCTCCTTGATAACTGAAACCCTCTAGTCCCACTAACATCTTTGTAAATCTTTTCTGCACTCTTTCCAGTTTAATAACACCTTTCCTATACCAGGGCCTCACCAACATCTTGTACAGCTGCAACACAATGTCCCAACTCCAATACTCAATAGTCTGATCAATGAAGATAAGTGTGCCAAACATCTTCTTAACTACCCTATCTACCTGCGATGCCACTTTCAAGGAGCTATGTACCTGAACCCCTAGGTCTCTCTGTTTGATGATACTTCCCAGGCCCTATCATTAACAATGTAAGTCCTACCCTAGTTTGTCTTACCAAAATACAACACCTTGCATTTATCTAAATCAAACTCCATCCACTCATTGACCCAGCTGATCAAGATCCTGTTGTACTCTTAGATAACCTTCTTCACTTTCTATTATACCACCAATTTTCGTCTCATCCGCACATTTACTAATCATGCTTCCCATATTCTCATCCAAATCATATCCTTAAATGATGAAGAACAGTGAACCCAGCATTTATCCCTGCACTTACGTCCTCATAAAAACTCGGTCAAATTTGTGACACACAAGTTCCCATGCACGAAGTTTCAGGTCAGACAACATCTGTGAAGTCGGGAACCTCAGATTAGATAGTGCCTGACTTGCTGAGTATTTCCAGCACTTTCTGTTTTTATTTAAGATTGCTAGCATCTGTAGAATTTTGAGTTGTTTCAGTATTGGATTAAGTGGTGCAGTTATTAACCAAACCAATAAATATTTCTAAGAGTTCCACAGCAAGACTGCCATAATAGATACATTTTTCTACTCCCTAACTAGGAAATACTGAGGAAATTGAAGGCAGACAAATCGTACTGCGTATTTTTAGTAACGCATAAAACCTTCAAGCAGCTTTTGAATTTCTTGCAATTTGCTACTGTTTGTTGTTGCCTCATTTCAAAAAAAAAACTGGAAATACCAATTATTTCACTCGACTCCATTTTCAAGCAAGCTGAGAGTGAATCTTCCACAAGTAGAGTTGTTTAATCATCCGTTAAAAGATGTATGAAAATATCCAAGGGAGACAAGCTTTTGCTTTGCCTCTTTACAGTGTTCTACATGACAACTATTGATAGTTGCAGCAACACCAGATATTTGTTGTCTGTTCATTATAATGTAATGCAAGAAATGAATATTTATTTTAACCAATATACCTTTTTCTCTTTTAAGTAGATACAACCATTCAAAATGAGCCAACTTTATAAAACAATTGAGCCCAGTGTAATTGATGATGAAATGCTTGAAGAGGCAGTGAAGAAACAGGGGCCATCAGGAAAGGCTGGGCAAATAGCCCAGTTAGAAGGAATTGAATTCAAAGATGTAAAAAATCTTCAACTGGATTACCGAAGTATGCTTTAGATCATCAGCTTTTATGACCTAGATAAACAGGATGTTCAGAGATTATGTTATTGATAAAACAATTTGCAGAGAATACGCACTTGCATTTTACATAAGTATTTGAAAAATAATGTATTCCTTTGATCTGAATGCTTGTGATTATCATTGTGACTGTTAATGTAACTCAAATTTATGAAGTAAACTTAATGTAAAAAATATATCTCCATGTTATTCAGAGATGGGAGACCCGAGGAAACAGAAGCAGAATTTGACTTGTAGTCAGAGTTAAAGGTGGCAACCAAAAGCTTGATTTAAGAAGTGGGTTTATAAAACAACGTTTTGAAAGACAGAGAGGTGGAAAGAGAGGTTAGAGATAGTTTCAGATAGTCGGGCTAACATAGCTGAAGGCAGTTAGGTGAAGGAGGACTTGTGTCAAAGAAGTTTCGACACTGCAGAAAGCTGCAACCTTGTGATGGATTAAGGAAGCTGGAAGTAAGCTTAGAATAACCAAACATTTGGAAGAGAAATAATAATATAGAAATATGCATCAAGCTGATCAATTGGAATTAATTCTAAATGGAAGTTATCTTGAAAAGCAGTCTTGCCTGCAAAGAAACTTTTTTGCATAGAAATTCACTTTATCATTATTATTGTTCTAAAATCTCTGGTTTCTCTGTTCAAGATATACTGAAGATTGATAATCTGTGGCAGTTCAAAACACTGACCAAGCTCCAGTTAGACAATAATGTCATTGAAAAAATTGAGGGACTGAACGCTCTGATCAACCTGGTGTGGCTGGGTAAGTGCTGAAAAACTCAGTACAATCAAACATCTTAGTTTTGGTATCATTCAGCTATATTTTAGCTATTAGAAAAACAGCTGTGGAAGTGACAAACCAGTTTTTATCTAATTGAATGGCAGAACAGGCTGTGGCACTGAATTACTTAATACGTTTTTCTAATTCAGAATCACCACAATTGGACTTGCAGATGTGTTTTTGCTGGAAGTGAGTACGTGTCAGTTGAGTGAAAACTTAATTATATCCTCCAGCTTGGGAGAGCCAACCAGTGCTCACTATTTGAGTTCATGCAAAAAGTCTACTTGGGTAAGAAGGGCATCCAATGTCCATTACAGTAAACTCCAGAGTTTCCTTTTGAAAGGCAAGGGGGAAACTGGAAAAAAAGGCATCACTGAAAATTAGTTTTGCATTAGTATAAGTGCTTTTTTGCCTTCTTATTGGTGCAGAAGAAAGCAAAATCAAGTATTGAAAGCAATCCTGCAAGTTAACAATATGGAGATCAATAACTATCTAAACCCACAAATGATGAATACCTAGACAAAGTCCTGGAAAGCTCATAGTATCTCTAGAACTGTAAACATAAGAGAAAGGAGGGGATCAGTTAGGGGAACATGTTAATTTATTTTTTTTCTTCTTCTAGATTTGTCCTTTAATAACATTGAGATAATTGAGGGCTTGGATGAACTGGTTAAGCTGGAAGACCTCAGTCTGTACAGTAACAGAATTGCCAATATTGAAAATATGGACTCATTAGTAAACCTGCAAATCTTCTCTATCGGAAAAAATCACATCAATAAACTGGAAAATGTGAGCAATTCAATTGGGGATTATAATTCCCTTCCACCACTCAACATATTCTTTTGGTATTATAATGTTTTCTTTTTAATGCCAATATTTCTGTGCCATTTTCTAAATTACAAGAAATTTGTTCTTGTAGATTATCTATCTAAGAAGATTTAAGAGGCTGCGCACACTGAACCTTGCTGGCAATCCTATGTGTGAAGATGAGAGGTATAGCATGTACATTCCTGCCTACCTGCCTACACTGATGTATCTGGATTTCAGATTAATAGATAAGACCACAGTAAGTGTTTAACAGCAATAGACCAGAAACAGAATTTATGTTGTATTGATATGCTGGGTGATGGAAATGAAGGATTTGTTTCATGCAATGTAACGCACCCAACTTTGCATCCAACTTTCTAAGATTAGGCAACTATTCAAACAAAATGACCTGGAGCCAAATTTGCCCAATGTTCTATTTAATGCAGTGATATGGAAGAGCTTCAGGTTTATGTCTTCCTGAGTGAATATCAATCTTTTTGTACCACTAATGTAAACATACTTTCTGAAGCTCTTCAATCTTGACAATCCCTGTTGCAACCATTTAATAAGTACAAGAACTGCCTTAAACCTATGCTGTCTAGTTTTAGACTCCCCTATCATGGGGAAAAGCTCAGCTATCTACTTTATCTATGCCTGTCATGATTTTACAGACGTCCATAAGGTCACCCCTCAGTCTCCTATGGTCCAGGGAAAAAAGTCCCAGCCTATCCAACTTCTCCTTATAACTCAAACCTTCCAGTCCAGGTAACATCCTAGTAAATCTTTTCTGCAGTCTTTCTCACTTAGTAATATCCTTTAATAATCTCGTTTCTCGTTTAATAATATCCTTTCTGCACGCAGAAATGTGTGTCAGAGCTGCACGCAGTACTGCAAATGTGGCCTCACTAACGTCTCGTACAGCTGCAACAAGATGTCCCAATTCCTTTACTCAATGCTTTGACCAATGAAAGCAAGATGCTGAAGACCTTCTTCACCAAAGTGTCTACCTGTGACTCTATTTTCGAGAAGCTATGAACCCGTACCTCTAGATCTCTTTAGGGCCCTACCATTGACTGTGTAACTCCTGCCCTGCTTTGCCTTACAACATCTCTCATTTATCTAAATTAAACTCCATCTGCTATTCCTCAGCCCAGTTGATCAAGACCTCGCTGCATTCCCAGATGACCTTCTTCTTTCTCCACTATACCACCAATCTTGGTGTCATCTACAAACTTACTAACCAACTTCCTAATTTTTGCCCTAGACCCAACCATCTTCAGCTACTTCATCATAAGGTCAGAAGTTGGAATATTTACTGATGATTGTCAAGTATTTGACACCATTCATGACTCCTCAGATACCAAATGCAACAAAACCTGGAAAATATCTAGGCTTGGGCTGACAAACAAGTAGCTTTGACATTGCACAAGTGCCAGGCAAGCACCAACCCAACAGGAGAGAATTTAATCACTGTTCTTTGATATATTCTTATAATATATTCTTTAAAATATCTTATGATTACCAACCACCTCCCCCCCACCTCAACATTATCAGTATCTTGGGGGTTACCATTGACCAGAAACTGAACTGGAATACCCATATAAATTGTGGCTACAGGAGTAGGTTGGAAACAAGGAATCCTGCAGCGAGGAACTCTCCTTCTAACTCGCAAAAGCTTGTCCATCATTGCCAACGCTTAAGTCAGCAGTGTGATGAAATATTCCTCACTTGCCTGGATGAGTGCATCCAACAACACTCAAGAAGCTTGCCAGTATCCAATAGAAAGCAGCCCAATTGATTGACACCATGTCAATAAGCATTAATTCTCTGCATCACTGATACACAGTTGCAGCAGTGTGTGCCATCTACAAGATGCACTGCAGAAATTCGCCAAGGCTCCAGAGACAGTACCTACCAAAATCACAACCACCGTCATCTAGAAGGACAAAGGCAGCAGATACAAGGGAATACCACCTTTTGCAAGCTCCTCTCCAAACTATTCACCATGTAGACTTGGAAATATGCTGCCATTCCATCATTGTCTGTCAAGAAATATACCTTTTTGGATACTGTGGGGGTGGAAGGTTGGGGTAATGCAGTAGCCAGATCGGTGGCTCTGTGTACAGAGGGAGGGTTGAAATGTAGACGAGCAGTTAGCAGATATGGGACTCTATAGTCGGGGGCACAGATAGGCAAGACTCCAGGATGGTGTGTTTTTATTCTGGTGCCAGGGTCAAGAATGTCTGAGTCGGCACATGATATTCTGAAAGGAGAGAGTGAGCAGCCAGAGGTCATGGTCCATATTGATACTAACAACATTGGCAGGAAGAGATATGAGGTCCTGCAAGGGGAATTTAGGGAGTTAGGTAGAAGTTGAAAAGCTGGATCTTGAGGGTTGTAATCTTAGGATTACACCCTGTGCCTCATGTTAGTGGGGCCAGAAATAGGAAGATAATACAGTTGAAAGCGTGACTAAAGAGCCTGTGTAGAAGGGAAGACTTTAATATCTGGATCGTTGGGAACTCTTCCCGGGCTGGTGGAAACTTTACAAGAAGGACCTATTGCACCTAAACTGGAGGGGCACCAATATACTTGCAGGGAGCTTTGCTAATGCCACTTGGGAGGATTTCAGCTAATGTGGCAGCAAAGTAGAAATTAAGTCAATTAAGTCTGATAGGAAGAAACAGCAGGGCCAGGTTAGTGATATGGCATGTCTGGTGGTCTGAAGTCTATTTATTTTAATGCAAGGAGTATAACGGAAAAGGCAGGTGAGCTTAGAGCCTGGATTAGTACGTGGAACTACAATGTTGCAACCATAACAGAAACTTGGTTAAGAGAAGGGCAGGACTGGCAGCTCAATGTTCCAGGGCTTATATGTTTCAGGTGCGATAGAGAGAGACATAAAAGGGTTAGTGGGGTTGTGTTACTGGTTAAGTTTGCAAATGACACGAAAATTGGTAGAGTTGTGGATAGTGATGAAAGTTGTCAAAGAATACAGCAGGATATAGACCAATTGGATCGTTGGGCAGATAAATGACAGATGAAGTTTAATCCAGACAAGTGTGATGTGACATGTTTTGGAAGTAAATTGCAAGAGGAAAATATAAATGGCAGGATCCTTAGGAGTATTGTTATACAGAGGGATCTTGGGGTGCCAGACCATAGCTCCCTGAGAGTGGCAACACAAGTAGGTAAGATCATAAAGAACGCTTATGGCATGCTTATGTTCATCAGTTGGGGCAATGAGTATAAAAGTTGGCAAGTCATGTTACACCTACATAAATATGCCATATTTGGAGTATTGTGTGCAGTTCTGGTCGCCACACTATAGGAAGGATGCGGAGGCTTTACAGAGGGTGCAAAAGAGGTTTACCAAGATGTCGCCTGCATTGGCGTGTACTACTGATAGGGAGAAGTTGGAGAAACTTGGATTATTTTTGCTAGAGCGTTGGAGGCTGAGGGGGTGACCTGATTGAAGAAAAGAAAATGGATAGGATGGATAGTTGGTGTCTTTTTCCGAGGGTGGAAATGTCAAATACTAACAGGCATAAGTTTAAAATGAGAGGAGGAAAGTCAAAAGAAGATGTACAAGGCAAGTTTTTTTTTATGCAAAGGGTTGTAGGTGCCGAGAACATGCCACCAGGGAAGTTGGTAGAAGCAGATATGATGGCAACGTTTAAGAGGCATTTAGAGATAGAAACAGACAGGTAGGGAATAGAGGGATATGGACCATGTTCGGGCAGATGGGATTACTTTGCATGGTTGGTACAGCCGTGGTAGTCTGAAGGGCCTGTTCCCATGCTATATTGTTCAATGTTCTAATACATGAGTCTCAACCATAAGTGTTAATAGGTTAGGCTCATTTTGGTGCATGAGGTATCCTTACAAAAGACAAGTTGCAGGCTACAAGTATTAAATATAAATATTTTCTTTGTCTACAAATGTCCAGGCCACCAAACACAATTTTAGCCATGTGGGATTGATAGTGGTTTTTTGTTTAAAAAGAGAAAAGTGTTTCCCAATGGCCCAACTGGTCAAGGCCATGAATGGGTGAAGCTTACAGAACAGAAAAGATCCAGGTTCATCTTTGATGAATTAGCAAATCTCAACAATAACATTGGTGGAATGCTGCAATTAAATTGGTATCTTTTGTGAAGCAATGAAATTGGCCACCATACCAGCTGCTGATTGCTGTCCAATGGTCCCAGAATGGACATTGTCAAGAGAGAATGAAAATGAGATTATCTGTGATCAAGTTGCCTATTGATAATTAATGGGTAGGCTCACAATGGGTGGTAGCCAAGTATCCATTACACCAACAAGGAGCTCATTTCTATTAGCATTTAAGAGGAAGAGAAGAAATTAACAAGAAAAGGATCTCCATTTGGACTTTAACAAAACTATTTGATGGAAGTAAATAATTATTTCTATGCATCCTGACTGTTACAATAGGACAATGAAGGAATAAAAAGAATTTTTAAAAAATATGTATTTTATCAAAGATGTAACATGCCATGTGAAAGGGCCATCGACTGTGGGAAAGCATGTTGAGATCTGCCAAGCAGAATTCCAGACCAATGTTGAAGGAATGTTGATGGTACTATCTTTTGGATATGTTACTAAATTCAGGTCCTACAGTATTTGATCTCTCTGATGAATCTAAAAGTGTCAAATCATTATCTGGAAGATGAGTAGATGAGTTCTATCTAGTGTTTTTGCAACGTTTACCCCTTTAATAATATTTATGAGAGCTTGTATGCAATTTAGATGCCACATTTCCTGCATTACAACAGTGATTACACTTCAAAACAAGTAATTAGCTATGAAGGGCTTTGTGACATCCTGAGATCATGAAAAGTACTACTTAAATCTTTAATTTTGAGGCATCTAAATTCACTATGCATTGGCAGAGATCAAAGTGCAATTATCAGTCACATGCACTGGGATATTGATGGTACCTGATTCAGATGTCAAAGAAAGTTTGCAAAAGCCATGAATTGAAAAATCTCTATTTGTTATAGAAAGAAATTGCTTTAGAAAAACATCACAGTGCTGTTGCAAATTTGATGTATCATGAAGATGTAGCATTTAAAAAGCTTGAGAAAATAAGGTTACAAGAAGAGGAACTGGCTCTACATAAGGTAAGCCAACTTCTTGTATCATGAATTAAGCAGTACATTAGCACATCACATCGTCACATAAATATTTTTCTTAGCAAAGATTCAGTTCCTCGTAATAAATACTTTATTTAAAATCGATGTTTTGATCTCATTCAAGAAAGCAATAAAAACAACCTCAAAAGGGAAAAATAAATCCAATATGTATTTATCACCCGTAAGTCCTATTTAATGCCATTTGCTGAAAAGTACACGTGTGCAAGGACAGTTCATTTCCATCTCATAATTCAAAATTGATAAAAGAAAAAGATAAATCAGCAAAGGTTCTAACAATGCCAGGCAAGAACCATTTCCAGCAAGATTAAATATAACTGTTTCCCCTTGACATAAAATGGCATTAACGTCACTGAGTCCCCATCCATCAGCATCCTGGAGGTTGCCATTGACCAGAAATTGAACTGGATCAACCTTATAAATATTACAGTTACAATAGCAGATATGAAGCTAGGAATTCTGATGGAAGTAACTCACTTCCTGACTCCACAAAGCTTGTCCACCATCTAGAAGGGATAGATTAGGAGTGTGGTGAAATACTCCTCACCTGTTTAGATGAGTGCAGTTCCAACAACACCCAATAAGTTCAACACTGTTCAGGACAAAGGAACCGATTTGATCAGTACTCTACGCACCAACTTCAACACTTGCTCCCTACCTACAATCAATGTACAGTGGCTGCAGTGTGTACCAATTACAAGATGCAATGTTGTAACTTTCAAAGTCTCTTTTCACATTTCAAATGGTACATGGGACAGCATTACCTCCAAACCCCCTTCCTCGCCAAGTTACACACCAGCCTGATTTACAACAATTTCATGTGTTTCTTCAGTGTGGATGGATCAAAGTCCTGGAACTGCTTACATTACAGCAGTACAGGGGTACCTGGACCAAATGGACTGCAACAGTTCAAAAAGGCAACTCAGTATTATCTTCTCAAAAGACAGTCAATGTTGATAAACTAATGATGCTTATCTCCTATGAATAAAAGAAACAATCCATGCCCAGTGTGAAGAAATCCTTTGGGAAGTCTGATTGTACTCTTGCATGTTAGAGAGGTATGGAATTAAACAGAAACAACAAGTTGGAGAACATTCTGATCTTCTTCCACTTTGAGGAGGAGAGTGGATAAGTTGAACACTTGTCACTGGACATGACATTATTTTATTGTTGCACCATGATTGCAGAAGAAAATGCGAAAATAACCCATTACTTCTAGGTATGACATAAACTGTAATTGTTAACCATAACCTTGCAGATTGGCAGATTCCCCATCTCCAATTGATGGGGTAAGAAGGATATTTATTAATTTCCCCAAAGCGATGTGTCTAGCAATTGAAGTTTAGAGCCACAATCACCCTCTGAGATAGTTTTAAAAAAATCTGGTATCTGAGCTAGGTTAGGCTGGTGTACAATAAGGCACTGTTGATTGACCAGGTCAGCCGGTCACCACTGGCTGGGATTCCTTCCACTTTGTTGCAGAAATCCTGTAAGCCAAAGGCAAAGTGAACTTTAGATGAGGTAAAGCATTGGTAAGTTTGCCAGCACCTGTGGTGATTCATTATATTCACATCCTTGACAGTCATTGAGTCTGTATCTTTTACTGACCTGTACATGGGTGAGTGTGTTGCCCATCTACCTCACATCGGATGAACAGCAGATTCATCAGCAATTCTATCTTTAATAACTGATGGAATTTAAAGTTGTACTCAGAGTTAGGCTATTGTGCTTATGATGGAGCAAGATTTCCTTGATTTAATAACTTAATTTTTAAATTAAGGCCGCCTATGTAGAATATCTGAATGGACCCGGCCTGTTTAACACAATGTTCTCGGAAGATCCTGAAGCACCAAAGCTTTTAATGTTACCTGGAGCGACAGAACTTGTGGACATATATCCCTTTCCAAAGGTCACTTATGCCTTAAAGATATTAATCTCCAACCTCAGATTTGTTCCATTTTAATTTAAAATTTATACCCGTGACTGATGAATTCAGATTTACAAAGTCACACACTAGAACATTTGTGCGTAGGTCAGTAGCAAAGTTCAAAGCCCCAAACCGATGCCAAGAACTTCCCTTGAGCCCAATCCTATCCACATCCCACATCCAACATCCACATCCATAAGATGTGACTGAACCTTCTTGACAGGAGTGTTAATAGTAATCATAGTACTAGCATTTGGCTCTGTGTTTTGTTGTTTTAATCAACCTGTTTGGAAATGCCTTGACACACCTCTGGGCACAGGTGGACCTTCAACTGGACCTTCTGTTTAGAGGCAAAAGCACTACCACTGTACCACAAGAGCCCTTCCTGTGTGTTTTCTTTTGAGAAACCACCACGAAATCAACCAATCACCTAATTAACAAACAACACAGGGGACAATGTGACAATAACAAATATCAAAAAGGTGGGGCAATCAAGGGAGGCAATTTAATTAAAATAGTATTGGAGGGGGAGGTCCCTGTATTTCCCATCTCTCTAAAAGCCTTGAGGGTAGTAGTGGACACCAGATGCTTCCTCTGAGAGACACTCAGGCATGGAAGTAGGCACAGCAGAGAGACAGGCAATCGGGAATTAAGATACTCTTCCACGGACCACTGCCTTGACCTGTGAATAACTATTTTAGCCAGGCCATGAGGAGGTCCTCTGACCTGCCTAGTTGCCTCCATATTGCCCTGCGTTTTATACTTGCCTGATTCATATGACTGGGCTGTTGATTTGATTAATTAGCTGGCCCAGTGTGGCAGTCTCCACTGGAAATTTGTCTAATATTTGAAAGACATGAACTGAGACAAGATTAATCCTTCAATCAATGCCTGAAAAGTTGGTTACCTAGCTGTTTACACTGTTTGAGAGAACCAGTCAAGTAGGCTGGGTGTGTTGAAATGAATTGCAGGTTGCTAATTGGCCTGTTTGTTCGTCACATGGACAGACCTATTTTTGACTATGAGTCCATGCAGTGAGACTTGGCCCAGAGCTTCTGGCTCAGAAGCAAGCATATTGCTCACTGTGTCACAAGATTTCCTTAAGGCTTTCTTTACTCTTTGTGAGCATACAATAATCAAAGGAAGAAATTAACTAATTGAACAGCCCCTTAAACAGACATAGTAACAAAAAGCTAGATATCCCCTTATACACTTTAAAGTAAATAATAAACAAATAAGCTAATTAACAGCCCTTCCAAGGGCATCATGTTGGTAATCAAAACTTTAAAGCAAACCTGTCAAAATAAAGTAACATTCCTCAGACTGATAATGCGGCAGACCCTGCAATGCCCACCATTCATGGAAAGCCTCGAGGACATTACATGCTCCCTCATAAAGTACATCCAGGTGCTGATGTAATCACAGAATGGACAGGCACCTTGGTAGAATGAACCTCTTAACTGCTCAGTGTTTCGACCTGTTAATAGCCATCTTGGCCATGCCTAGGAGCAGGCGAACTAAGAGCTCCTCAGGATTGCTGCCCTCCTTGACATTGGTTGTCCAAAGGTTTTCTAGAAGCATGGGCTGAAAGTGTGAACAGATTTGGGGAGTAGCCCTGTCAAACAGTGATACAGGAATGGCTTTCTTGATACTCTTTTGAGAAACCAATCATCTAATGAACCAAATTAGCTAGTAGATAGCCCCTTAAATGGGAACTGTAACCAAAACAAGAATTTAAATAAAACTTAACCAATTGAACTAAAATTTGAGATGGGGGAAGATGACGCACTCAATTCATTCTTTATACTCCTTTGAGTTCATGATCCCAAATTAAGTAAGTGAAACCATTTTAAAGGGCCATTGCAACTATAACAAGACTGAAGGAAACTTCAGAACTAAAACAAAATAATGTTTCCAGGACTGATGATACACTCCTGGGATACTTGAGCACAGATATAATCATATAGGGAAGTAAGACATTCAAACCTAATCGCTTCCTTTACAGTCTGTTCATTGCCCATGCCTAGGAGAAGTCTAACAAGAAGGTCCTCTGACTTGTCTGCTCCTCTCTGCAACAGAGTGCAAAAGACCAGGGCCCAAGTTACAAATAAAACTTCAGGGTAGGCCTGCTCATATAGTGAAATAGGAAAGTCTTTCTTGTACTCTTTTGAGCAAACAAAACTGAATAAACCAAATTAGCTGGTTTACAGGCCCTTTAAAGGGCAACTGCGACAAAGCAAATAGAGTAATAGAATCAAACATCATGGAAACAGACCCTTCAGTCCAACCAGTCCACACTCACCATGTTCCCAAACTAAACTAGTCCAACCTGCCTGTGCTTAGCCCATATCCCTCCAAACCTTTCCGATTCATGAACTTATCCAAATGTCTTTTAAACGTACCTGTAACTGCATCCACCACTTCCTCTGCCAGTTCATTCCACACATGAACCACACTGTCTGTCTAAAAGAAAAAGTTGCCCCATGTCCTTTATTAAATCTTTCTCCTGTTACCTTGGAAATACGCCCTCTAGTTTCAGACTGCCCCACCCTAGGGAAAAGATCCTTGTCATTCACCTTATCGATGCCCCTCATGATTTTATAAACTTCAAATAGGTCACTCCTCACCTTCCTAAGCCCCAGTGGAGAAAAGTCCCTGAAGGAAACTTTTAAACTTAAACCTTGGTTTTGGGGCACCTACTCTCACTTTTAATCTATTTTTCTGATCAACTTGTTCAAAGATGTTACTACACACTTTTATAGCAGATGACACTTGAACCTGGGTCTCTTGGTCTAGAGGTAGGGATACTACCACTGCACAAGATGAGCCCCTTGAATCTTTCTTTATATATGCTCAAGGCATCTAATCAATCAATGGCCTTTACCTGTGTATCTTTAACCTGATAATAAATTGACAGACCCTGCGCAACAGAACCTGTTCTATGGATTGCTGTAAAATGTGGTAGGGGTAAAAATGAAAAGGAAAGTTTTTATGGCAGTCATATTTTTGAGAATAAAATATTTTATAATCTTTCAACGTATAAACACAATAGCATCCTTGACAATATACCACATTCAAGGCTGAGTTCACCAGCATTTGCCAGAAGCTCTTTACCCATGGGCTCAAAGGGCATGAAAAACGTCAGAATGAACTGGAACATTTTATGGAATGCGTCCGTGAAGCGATTGAAGAAAATCAGCAAAAAGGAGTAAAAGTTATCAAAGAATTTGAAGAGAAGAATAAAGAGGTAAGAACAAATTATAAAGAAAAAAGCAGAAAATTCCAAACCTATAGAGTCAGTATCTGTAAATAGAAGATAAATATTATTGGTGTTTTGAAAGTGGAATTGATGTGTTAAAGTCTATTTTAAGCATATGACTGGAACAGAGGGATATAAAGTAAATGAGAGAGGTAAAGTATCATGGCTGTCATTGTAAATGAGACCAAAGTTTCCACTTATAGGCCGCCGAGTGAGCTTTCACAAATTTTATTTTCAACCAGTTATCAAGTATTTGATTTATACAATTAGTTCTCTGAAACTGGGTAAAGGCAGCAGACAGCATGATGCAGACCTCTACTCACCAGGAAGATTTGAAGTTTCACCCAGCCTCTGGCCTATGCTGAATTTGCAGAACTCAACTAGGGCACTACTTGGGGCCTTAAATTAGTCTCAATACCAATTCCAATGGGGATCATTAGATAACAATCAGGAGTCCTGATTGATTTACTGTATCCAACTGCTAAACTACTGAGGCTAGCTGTAGTAATTAGACTACTGTCTAAGCTGAGGTCACTTAGAGATTAGAAACAAAACCCGCCAACTTGCTAGTTGCTGTATATTTTTAAACTGGGCAGAGCTGTTCCCTGAAGGCCAATAGAGGCAATAAATTAAAATGGTTTTCTGTTTAACCTACTTTTAGAGCTTTAGCATCATAGAGCTGTACAGCATGGAAATAGACACTTTGTTTCAACTTGTCCATGCCAACCAGATATTCTAAATGAATCTAGTCCATTTGCCAGCATTTGGCTTATATCCCTCTAAACCCTTCCCATTCATATGCTCATCCGGATGCCTTTTAAATGCTATAATTGTACCAGCCTCGACCACTTCCTCTGGCAGCTCATTCTGTACACGCACCGCCCTTTGCATGAAAAAGATGCCCCTTGGTCTCTTTTAAATTTTTCCCTTCTCTTAAACCTTAAACCTATATCCTCTAGTTTTGGACTCCTGGGGAAAATACCTTAGCTTTTCACCATATCCATGCCTCTCATGATTTTATAAACTTCTACAAGGTCACCCTTCAGCCTCCGACTTTGCAGGAAAAATAGCCCCAGCCTATTCAGCCTTTCCCTATATCTCAAACTCTCCAACCCTGGCAACATCGTTGTAAATCTTTCCTGAACCCTTTCAAGTTTCACAACATCCTTCATATAGCGGGGAGACAGGCATTGAACGCATTTTTCTAAAAGTGGCCTAACCAGTGTCTTGTACAGCCACAACATGACGTCTCAACTCCTATAGTCAATGCACTGACCAATAAAGGCAAGTTTACCAAATGCCGCCTTCACTATCCTGTCTACCTGTGACTTCACTTTCAAAGAACTATGAACCTGCACTCCCAAGTCTCTTTGTTTAGTAATATTCCCCCAGATCAAAGATTGAGGGAAGACATTTTGCAGGCCTTAAGAATATTGAACAGCATAAGTACATTTAAATAAACCAGCTTTCTAATTTGGATGACGAATGGACTTAGAGCTTTGGCTATGTCTTAATTGTACCATATCCATGCATTACATGAGGAAGGCAATCTCGTGAATGAATTTAAAAAATACACATCTTACCATTCTGAAAAAATTTCTTATCAGTTAATGAATCCGTTTTTTTAAATCAAGATCACCTATATTCAGAGGAAGCCTAGAATCAAGCCACACAAAAGAAGCCCATTAAGCATATTATGATTGTGCTGGCTTTTTTAATCATCATCATATACTTTAAATTGATATTTGTATCTAGCGACAGGGTTACACAAATGATATCCTACCTTCATAGTTCTTTGTTGTAACAGTTGTAGATATTTTCTAATCAGTCTTTTCAGAGATGGTAGCACAAACCTTTGGAGCAAGGAGAACTTGGAACCCAGGTCTCTTAGCTCAGAGGTGGGGACACTACCACTGGAGCCCTTTTGCTGGCTTTTAAAAAAAAATTTAACCTTTTTTTTAACCTATGTGTTCAGAGATGTTATTACATGCCTCTGGAGCAGGTGGGGCTTGATCTCAGGCCTCCTAGCACAGGAGTGGGTCAGGACACTACCACTGTGCCACAAGAGGACCCTTGTGCTGGCATTTTTTTTTAAACAGTGACACAGTATATACTTTCTGTGTATATACTTTACTGTTCATTTTTTCCACCACCAGGAAAACACCCATTTGGCAAATTCAACATTAACAAGCAAAACTTGTTAAGGACTATGCTGTCATTAAAATGTGGCGGGGGGAGCGGGTGGTTAAGGAGAGAAGGATGAGACTAAATCAAAATGGAGTTGGAGAGTGAAATAAAGCACTCCATCCCCTGTGGTGCCCACCTCTCTCTAAAGGTTTTGAGACCATTGGTGGACACTGCGTGCTCCCTCTCCAATGACACCCAGACTATCCAATCCTCTATTTATACAATGAAACATATAGCAAGCTCTTATTTTGTGTAGTAAACTTTATGTACTATCTTATTAAATGTCTTCTAGAAATCTAATTGTAGCACATCCAGGAGTTCCCTTTATCCATGTTGTGTGTCATTTCCTTTAAAGAAGCCCAATAAAGTAGTCAAACATGATTTCCTTTCCACAAAACCATGTTCACTCTCCCTGATTGCATTGAGACTTCCTAATTGCCCTGCTACATTTTCTTTAATAATAGATTATAGATTATAGAATCCCTACAGTGTGTAAACAGGCCCTTCAGCCCAGCAAGTCCACACCTATATATTCTAATATTTTCTCTGTAGTAGTAAAGCAGTCTCCTTATCTTGAATATTTGTCATTTTCTAATCCAATTGGATCCTTCCAGAAATAATTGATTTTTTTTTGGGAAACTTAAAAACTATACCTCTATTGTTTCTAACAGACTTCTTCTATGATGCCCATCAATATCTAGTGCCATTTTCTCTTAGTAACATTTCCCTGGTCATTGTAACTATTTTAACTTCCTTCTTCCTCAACAACGCCTGGTTCACAATTATTTCAGATGTTATTTGGATCTTCTACAGTGAGTGTAGGCACAAAGTATCTGTTCAAATCATCCACCATTTCCTCATAGTAAGGGATGGGATCAGAACATTAGTTGCGAAGCATGTCATATTGAAAGAACAAAATAGATTCTGTTTGGTGGAACTAAGAGGGAGCAAGCATGATAGGAGTTGGTTTTAGGGGACCAAACAATATGAGCAGGCTCTGTGGCACTGTGGTAGTATCCCTACCTCTGAGCTATGAGACCTGGGTTCAAGTCTCACCTCCTCTTGAGGTGTGTAATAATATCCCTGAACAAGTTGATTTTAAAAAATTTTTAGGGAAGGCTGGTTTGTGTGATGCAGTGTGATGTTAACAACGTACGTTCAATTCCTGCACCAGTTGAGGTTACCATGAGGCTCTCACCTTCTCAATCTTGCTCCTCACCTGAGGTGTGATGGCCCTCAAGTTAAACTCACCACTAGTCTTCTCTGTGTAATGAGTGAGCAGTCTTGTGGTCTGGTAGAACTTTACCTTTTTGCTTCCCAAACAATAGTGGTAGTGTGGTGCATGGACATTACAGAAGCTGTGGCATGGATGACAAAGAAACTATGGGTGACTCTAATCTGCATGCAGACTGGGTAAACTAATGAGCACTAATGCTATTAAGTATGAGTTTTTATGTGACCTAGAGCTGGTTTTCTAGAGCAGTATGATGAAGAGCTGAACAAAGAACAGGCTATTTTAGATCCTTCAAGGCACAAAATCCAAAAAAAAGTCAGTAAATTGTGGGTACAAAAAGGAATTGAGGATTATATGAAATTTGAAAGTGTATGAAGTTGCTTTAAATAGCAAAAACCTAGGAATAGGAGAATTTTATAAACAGGAAGACCAAGAAACTGATCAGAAAAGGGAGCATGTAATATAGATGTAAACTGGCAGAAAATATAAAAACAGATTGTAAAAGCTTCTCTTAGCATGTAAAGAGGGAAATATTTCACTAAAACAAATATGGGTATATTGTAGGCAGAGTCAGAAAAATTCATAATGAGGAATAGAGAAATTACAGAAAAGCTAAATGATTATTTTATGTCTGTCTTTATTGAGGGAGTTGCAAGAAATTTCCTGGAATTAGGGATTCAAGAGACCAGGGAGAATGAGGAATTGAAAAAAATTAGAAAGAAGGTTTGTCAGAGAAATTAGTGGAATTGAAAGTTGCTCACTATCTGGGACCTGATATTCCACATCAGAGTGTCGAAAGGGATAGCTATGGACATATTGGATATACTGATGATCATCTTCTGGAATTCTATAGATATGGTATGGTTTCTGCAGACTGGAAAGTAGTATCTGTCACCCTACTAATTAAGAAGAGAGGGAGGGATAAATAGTGAACCAATCACCTGTCAGTCTTACATCAGAATTCGGGAGAATGCTACAATCTATTCTGAAAGATGTGACTAGTAGATGCTCAGATAATAATGTTTTGATCGGGCACAATCAACATGCACTTCAGATTAGAAATTGTTTTTAACAAACCCGTTGTTAAAGTGCCCGACAGGAGATTAATCATGTTCAAAAGGTAATGTGATAGCATGGATTAAGGATTGGCCAACAGGCAGAAGACAGTGATAATAAATGGGTTATTCTCACATTGGCAGACTGTGAGTAGTAGGGTACTTTAAGGAACACCACGTGCTTCCTGATTTTCACTATGTATCATGATTTAGATCCAGGGAGTAAATGCATTATTTACAAGTTCGTAGGTGACACAAAGCTGGGATTTGGACAGGCTTAGTGAGTGGGTGAGAACATGGCAGGTGGAATATAATATAAAAGAAGTGAGGTTGTCTGTTTTGGTAGGAGGAACAAATGTGCAGAGTATTTCTTAAATGACTGAGATTCGAAAGTATAGACGTACAAAGAGACCTAGATGTCCTCATCACTAAATCACTCAAGTCTAACGTGCAGGTAAAGCAGGCAATTAGAAAGACCAACATATGTTTGGTTTTTCTATTGCAAGAGAATT